AGCCCCATCCACTGCCGTGTGGCCCCTAACGCACCAGGGAATGGCTAAGCACCCGGAAACGGGTTCAGGCCCCACGGTGCTCTGCTGCGATGCCTGCTGCGGGCATGGACACTGTTTATGCTGGCACCTCCACTCTTCCCACCCTTTTTCAACCAAGGAGGGGGGCGATTCTCCCGTGGGGGCCACTTCACTCGCTGCACAGCCTCCTGGCGGGTGTGACATGAAAGTCAACCTGGAGCCAAGTCCTGGGGCCCCCGGCATGCCCTCCCATGTGACCTTGGGCCCCTCCTTCTCCTCCCTCAGACCCAACGGCAGTGTGAGCACTGACCCTGGAGCCAGTTTTCTGGGCCAAACGCAGGCTCCAACACTTGTTAGGTGTTTGAGTCTCACTTTTCTCCTCAATGCACGGGGTCCAGGACAGTCTCCTCTTCTTGGGGTCTGAGTAAGGATCAAACGGGACAATATATTTTATTGCTGATGTGAGGTCCATAGATGCGTGTCTCTCTGTATTACCCTTCTACGTGTACAGAGTTGGAGATTCCTAGATGTCAAGCAGTGGCCTCCTAGAAATTCTGGGCAAAATCCTCCTGACCCTGGGCCTCAGAACTCTCCGCTGGAGTTTGGGAGAAGGGGCCCCCATCATTCATTCCAGGGGTCTACCTCCTGGCTCACGGTTGGGGTGTCAGAAAGGGCTGGTCTCGCGGCTCCCCCTCACTTTGACTGTTTGTTTGCCCACCACCCTTACAGTCACCACGGCAAAAAGCAGACTACCTTGCACCCTACAGGCCACCTGCAGCTCCCCCTGTGTGGGGAACAGACTACAGGAGCAGCTGATGGGCAAGATGTCAAAACTAATCCACGGGAAGGACGTGGGGAAACTGCTTTGTGAGGCCAATTCCCTACAGGAGGCGGGAAACCTTTAGCCCAGGCGGAGTGTTTGCGGGCGTAATTGATAGAATAATCACCAATGCCTGAGACAAAGGCGAACACATTTTTAACATCATAACCTTCAAAAGACAGGACTCAATTTTCTCCATCTTCCAGCCACCGAACCAGCTGGTTTATTGATGGTAAGATACCAACAGTTCAGTAAGGAACACACGGAAGCCAGAGTCATTTTTCAGCACACAAGCTGCTTGCCAAATGGCCCAGTGTCCCCTCCTCTTAGAGCGCCCCACTGTTCCCTCCTGGCAACACACAGAACCTCAGGACAGTGAATCACTCAATGGATGAAGCACCAGGCCAAGCCAGGGTCTTTGTCTGCATTGGGTGGATTAATAATTGAAGGTGCTGGTCTAGGGTGTGTGTGTGTGTGTGTGTGTGTGTGTGTAGACTATGTGTGCAGCAGTAGGAGGCTTCCCAGGGTTCCTCTGAAGGCCCATATGCCTGCCTGGCCTGAACCACTCCTTGCAAATCCAAATCAAAACTGTCCCCAGCACCAGGCAATTCCCATCCTTATATCTCCCGAGGTGGTGTATGGGTGGATACTTCAAGCAATGACTCCCTAACACTAGGCTGCGTGAGAATCCACTGTGGAGCTTACTAAAATACAGATTCCTGGGCCCTATTCATTATTGGTGTTGGCCGGTGGGTTAGGGGGTCTGCATTGTAAGAAACTCTCTGGGGACTCCAAGGCTGTGGAGCTGCATAGACCCTCACAACACGCCTGCCCTGGACTGGACCTAGAAAGAGTGTTTTGCACATGGACTCAGCAAGGTCTCATCACCTTTTTGAGTCACCAGCTCCTTCTGGTGAAACCCACAGCTCTACCAGCTCCCCAGGAAGCTGGAAGGGAGTGCCCCTGGGTTAGAGCTATGCAGAGGACGAAGTTCGTCACTAGAAGGAGCTGAGCCCATATTAAGGTTCTCCCAGAAGAGGCAGGCCCAGAACTGCTAGGCACACTTGCCTTCTGGACACGGCTCTCCAGCTCCTGGCACAGATTCGGTGACCTTGGGTAAGTCACTGACCCTTCTTGAACCCCGATTTCCTCATGTGTCTAAAACCAGGCACGATGTTAAGTGAGTTCACACCGGCAAGTGGCTCAGCAGCACCCAGCACGTGGTAAGCACCTCATAAATGTCAACTCCCTTTCCTCCCACCCATGCTGGGTCCTTTTAGATAAGGAGAATCAAAGCAGTTGTCATTTATCGCATGACTAGTAGGTGCAGTAACTGAACAGCACCTCCCCACCTCCCGATTCCTGTAGCCTTGTGGACAGCCATGCAGGGCACACATTCCTCACACCTTCACAAAGCCTCTTCAAAGCAAGTTGGGGGGAGGCAGGAGGGAGAGGGAAAGGGAAACAGATGTCCTCGCTGACCCCCCTGACCGCAGGCTTTCCCTGTGACAAGTCCCAGGGCAGGTAGCTGAAGGTGCAAGCCGGGGGGGCCGGGCTGGGCTCAGACGCAGCAGGAGCAATGAGCAGCCACCATGGGGACAGCAGGCCCCTTCCCAGCCCACCACCCCCTACCCTGAGACAGAGACACCTTCCGACCTGGCCACATTTCCTGAATCAGCTGAGGACACACAGAGCCCAGGAATAATGAAATGATCAGGCTCCAATCTGCTAAACAGCAATTTCTGAGCGTTTTCAGCATACACAGCTTTTATCAAATTGGTATTCTCCTCCTGAACACAAATGGCTTATTAGACATGACCCACTTATTCGCTGCGTCTCACTATCATTAATAACAGTTTCTTTTTGTGATTAAGTGAGTGGCTCCAAACCCTTCCTGTGGTGGCGGGTGCTTGGCCTGGCAAAGGGGCAGCTGCGGGGGCTCCTTGGCAGCCGCTACTTGGTGACTTTGAACCTGGCAATGTCGGAGGAAGGCAGCCTGGCCCCTGTGGAGCAGTCCAGCCCCCTTGTTTCTTGAGGGACAGTAGGGGAGCCCCTGAGAGGTGACTCACGTGCCCAGAGAGGTGCAGGGGGTCAGGAAAGAAGCCAGATTCCCCGGCAGCCTATGCCGTTCCCTTCCTACCCAGCCCCTCCTCTGGCCTTAGCAGGACCTCCAGGGTACAGACGGGGATTACGGCTGTGGGAGAGGACTGTGCCCCCTTGGCAGATCTGGCACCAGGGGGCAGGCAGAGACTGCTACACAAAAGGCAGAGCCTGCTTCCCAGGGATGACAGACTGGCACCCAAATTCTGGAGGTCCACTGCTTCAGGGGCAGGATGACCAGCAACCTCAGAGCTCCAGTGCTGGTACATCGCTGGGCCAAAAACTCAGGGAAGTCCTTCCTTGGAAAACCCTCCCAGTGTAAGTTCCAACTTGTGCCAAGGAACTGAGCGAGCGAGGAGGGGAGGGACGGGAAGGAATTCCCAGTTTCCCTTGAATGGGAGGGAATCTGACAGGGAGATGAATGTCTTGGGCAAAGAGCTGTCTTTTCCTGCCAGGCTCTGGGGCTTGTCCTGGCTTGGCAGTCTCTCACTGTGTGAGCTTGGGCAACTCCTTTCACCTCTCTGAGCCTTGGTTTCCCTATCTGTAAGTTAAGGATCAAAATAACACCTTCCCTATTTGCCAGTGCTCCAGACAAATCAGTAGAAATAGGTAGAAGATTCATAGGGTGCACAAATGATACAGCGTGGCTGCTGTCAAACACGGTGAGGCAGAAGGGTGCGGGGAGTCCGGGGTCCCTAAAAGCAGAGATTCTGAGAATGACTTGGAAACTCCCTCCGCCGGAGTCATCCCATGGGCTTCACAGGCTTCACAACCTAGCAAGCCCTACACACACACCGCTGTTACCTACCCCTCCATCTACCGAAATAAATCCCTCCCTTTTGGCCCTTTGTGCAAACCTCCCCGTGGCCCTGGGCACCAAGTGCCCAGCCCTGGTGCTGCGGCCTTCTCTGAGAGGCTGAGTTGGGAGGGGATGGCAGGAAGCAGGGTCTCCTCTGGCGTCAGCTATGCTCTGGCCCCCACACCAGAGGCTGGCACAGAGGGGAAGAGGGAGCCCCACAGCTGCCGGCCTCAGACACACAACTCTGCTGCCAACTTGGGCTCCTCTGGGGCAGAAGGAGCTTCTGACACTCGGGCAGGCAGTGCCAGGAACACTTGCTTGCTCCCACTTCCCACAGTGGCTGGAGTTGAGGTTTCCCACATTTCAGTCCTTGGGAGCTCATGGTGAGGATGGGGTACCCTATGGAAGGACAGCAGCACCTTCCTGCTCACCCCAGAAACAGACAAAAGCACCAGGTGTCCCTCTCCCACTCCCACGCCCAGGGCCAGAAGCAGTAACCTCACCTACTCCAGTGTCTTTGAGGGGCTCCCACAATGCCTGCATCCATGATTTGCCACCCACATGACAAGGAAGGTGGCAGCCCAGGCTAGCAGGTCCCAAGAGGACCATTTCCAGTGCCATAGGGCCAAGCTGGAAAGGAAGGGGACAAGAGCGGCCCTGGGGGTAAACCACAAAGGGGAAAAACAGATGGGCAGAGAAGAGTGGGTGGACAAAGTGTATGCACAACTCTGCGTGTGTGTGCGTGTGCGTGTGCGTGTGTGTGTCTGCAGGCAGCCAGGCAAGAGTTGTGGCAAAGCATGTGTGGCAAAGCGTGTGTGCCTGGGTGCCAGCTGGCAGGATGTGAGCCCCCCAGCGCAGTGCCTGGTGTGTGTGAGTGTGTGTGTGTGTGTGTGTAGTGGGCATAAGTGTATCTGAGTGAGGGTGATCTGACAAGGTGTGTGAAGATGTGTGAGCGCAGATGTGAGTGAGAAAGCAGTCAGTGCGGCTGTGAATATCTGTGTGGACATGGAGGTGTGTGTCTGCCTGAGCATGTGTGTGCGCGGCGTGGGGCTTCTCCGTAAAATCGGGAGTGGGGGTGCGCTCCCGGCGCCCCCTCTGCAGAACTAGCCAGGGTGCCAGGGCAGGTCCGTAGATCCAGCAGGGGGCGCCCTGGGACTCCGGTCGCGGTTAGGGATGGTCAGAGCCCCCGGGCCGCCAAGTTGGAGCCGCGCGACGTGGGGTGGGGTTCGGTGGGGAAGTCATGGGGGCGGCGACCGAACTCACCGTGGCCGGAGACGTGGTTGTCCCAGGGCGCGTGGCCGGCGGGCCGCGTGGCGTCGCCGAGTTGCAGGAAAAGTGCCAGGTAGTGGAGGGCGCCCAGCGCCACGGCGAGCGGGGCCCCCATGCTGCGCGCTCCGGCCGGGGGCGCCGCCGCCTCACATCGGGGCTCCGGAGCCCGCAGACCGCGCGCCCGCGGTGCCCTGCTCGGCGCGGCCTGGCTCCCCGACTCCGGCCGCTGCTCCTTGCCCGCTAGGTGCAGCCCGGCCCGGGTCCCAGCCCTCGCACGCCTCCGGCCCAGCCCCGGCTGCGGGCAGCGAGCGCACGCCCAGCCGGCCGCCTCCGACTGCGGGACTCTTCCCTAGCGCGGAAGGCCACTCCGCTCGGCGGCCGCGCCGCACCCTCCCGCTCTGCCTCCCGCCCGCCCGCCCGCGCAGGCCGCGGCGGAGGGATCTGCCGCTTGATTTATCATCAAAGTTTTGCCCAGGCTGGGATTTTTAAAGCGGTACTCGCAACTCTCCGCTCCGCCTGCGAGCGGGGGCTGGGGGCGCAAGCGGTGGAGAGACCCCCACCCCCCCAGGGCGCCCGGCTCCCGAAAGCGCAGTACTGCTGGGTTCAGGAACAGGAAACCCTACCGACAGGAATAAGGAGAAAAATCGTCCACCCGCAGGGAGGCCCCGCGCGCCGAGAGGGCGTCTTCAACTTTGTTGGCGTAGTAGTGCCGAGGTTGGGGGGCAGCAGGGGTGCAGCTGAGGGCCAGGCGAGGAAGGGACTCGGGGTGCGGCAGTAGAGCCAGATTACAGCTCCGCCAAAGCCTTTGGCCCCCCGCCTGATCGCGCCCATGTATGAATCTCAAGGTCTTTATCTGAGAAGTGGGAAACAATGACAGCCATCTCCAGGCAGTGGTGAGAATCTGCAAAGTTAGGGATGCAAAGCGCCGACCTTAATACCAGCGATAGGCCGCCCGGGGAGTGACTGTCGTTCTCCTCTCTGGGACTCAGTTTTCCCATCTACATAATAGGAATAAGTCCAGACGGTGAGCCTCCTTGCAGTTTAGAGACGCTGGGCCCTACTCGGTGAATTGGATCGCCCCCTTCTGGACTCTAGGGTTCCCTTTCCAGGGCAGAAGCCTGGAGGGAATGTGCGCGAGCCACTCCCATTCTGCAGAGCAGGAATTCAAAGAGCTTTTTTCCCTGGAGCTGTTGACCAGACCCTCAGAAGAGAGGGCGAACTCGTGGCTTATTTAAAAGAACGGAAGCAGCTTAGATCAGAGAGAGCAGCTTCTCCCTGGGCCCACGGAGGGAACGGAGCAAGGCCCCTGACTGCCGGAGCAAGGCAGGATCTTGCGAGTTCTCGGCTCCTGCCGGTCTTCAGCCCTTGCCTGATGCGGTGGCAGGACCCCCGAGGACCGCGCCAGCCTCCCTCTGGCCCGGAGGCCGGTCTCTGCTCCGTCGCGCAGGCATCTCCGCAGGCTCTTTGGTGCGATGTTTCAGCACCATGGACAGCCTCCCGGTCTTCCCCTTTCTCCGCCGAAAAGGATTAGCGTCTCAGACGGCGGCTGCTGACCACAGGCGCATCCAGTACTCAGTACCTAGATCTAAGGGCGAGGTTAAAGCCTGTGGGCCGTTACTTTGTTGTCTTTATTGTCTTCGCCTCCCTGCCCGTCCAGTGTTATGGCGGCCAACACCCTGGACGGGATCGGTGGTCAAAGCAACGGTCCAGTTTCCTCAAAACTGAGAACAGGGCCAGATATCTAGCTCAGCGGCACGGCGCCTGTATGACAAGTACGAGGTCCCTTCATCCACAAAAAAAAAAAAAAAAAAAAAAAAAAAAGCGATGTCAAACGCTTGGACAGTGTTTGGTGCCACGGTACCACGGATAGCTCACCGGCTTCAAGCCAGAACCCTTCTTTCAGCACCGTGGATAGGGCCCCAATCACTTCAGCTGCTGGACCACATGGGAGAGGGGGGCCTTTTCTGCCCTATTAATGCGCTTCTCACTTTCTTTCCGCACAAACGTGGTATTCAGATTATCACGGGTGGTCAGGCTGGCTGGCCTTGGACTCTACAAGAACATACTCAATCATTAATTCACTTAACCGTCCTCCCGATGAAATGGATGGTATCAATCCTAACATAAAGGTGAGAAAAATGAGAATCTGTAATCTCCCCTAGTAGTGCTAAGATTGAAGCCAGGGCTCTCTCAAATCCAGCATGAGGTCTCCCCAGAAGACTATGATGACACATTTAGGGTCAAACCCAAGGCTGTCTCCTCATAAACCAGACTTCAGGGTTGGGACAAAAGAAAGGGTACAAGGAGAGGGAGATTAGGAGAGGAGCACAAGAGTGTCTGCCTGGGGGATGCAGGGGGAGCAGGCCAGGGCACATGGCAGCACACTGCTGCTTGGCCACTGACCCTCTGACCCTCTGACTGGCCTTCAAGAATCTTTTCTCTTCATTTTCTGGAACAAGGTTAAGCCTTGTAACTTCAAAGTTTCCTTCAAGGACAGGCCTCTAGGGATTATATGACTTTGGAAAGGCTCATGAGGTAATGGTTCTACTGAAAACCCTTTGATGGCCATGTTTACTTGAGAAACCTTGACTTTTCTGATTTGTGTTCAAGGTCTCAACCTCCCCTCCTGTCATATTCTGTGCCTTGGTCATTGTTCCCACCTCAAGCATGCCTCATCTTTACTACGTCCTGGCCCTCCCCAATGCTTCGCTCATGCTGTCTAGCTGAGCCCCTTGTGGGCCAAGGTCCAGCCTGAGATCCCTACAGGAAAAAACATCTGGTGCCTTCTCCTGATTTCCAAGCATCGGTTTCCTCATTGTGTCCCCAGCAACGTGCCAAGAATTTTAATTCACCCGCCTACACCTCCGGCCAATAGGCCTTGTACAGTGGGATCATGTGGGTGTAAGTGTGAACTCTAGGGCCATCTATTCTGAGTTTCAAATGCTACCTCTTCCTAGCTGTGTTAAGTTGGACAAGTTGTTTAGCCTGTGTGTGTCTGTTTCCTTGACTATGAAATAGGGATATAATACATCCTTTCCAATATTATTGTGAGAATTCAGTGAGTTGCTACATAGAAAGCACTTTGAACAGTGCTTAACACAGAGGAAATAACATGATACATGTTGATTATTATTGTTGTTATCTAAGACAAGGAAACAGAGTATCAGAAAGATTGTCTTGCCCAAAGGAAGGCAATAATGGGGAGTGATATTTTGAAGAACCCATGCTCTAAGGAATCGCCCTAAGGACCTCTAACTCAACATTTCCCCTTTACAGCTATGGAAAATAAGAATCATAAAAGGTCCAGGCTTCCTTAGGGTCACACAGCTGCGTGCCACACAGATGCCCGTCCTTCATCTCCCGTCTCAGGGCTCTCCTGCTCCAATGCACAGTCCCATGGGTGTTTCTTCCAGTTCCCACCTAGACTTCGCTTTACAGTTGACAGAATACTTCCACATCTGTGATTTCATACAATTCCTACCACAATCCCCAAGGCCAATACTTTGCCTTTCTTCTTTTACAGATGAAGGAACCGAAGCTCAGAGAGGTGCAGTAACCTGCACAAGGTTGCGCAGTAAGATGGGGCAGAGCTGCGTGCGATCTCCAAGCCATACTCCTGCATTACGTAGTTCTCTCCTTAGTTTGCTTCACCAATCCAAATGCAGACACTTGTGTCAACTGAGAGTATAGAGAAAGTAGAAGGTAACCAAAGACTATCCCAGAAATCATTTCTGGGAATTCACTAGAGTGGGTGACTAATCACTCGTTTCACTCTGGGAATGCTGCAGGAAAGAGTAAGCCTCCCATCCCTAGAGGTAACTAAACAAGCATCTAGCAGTCATGTGGATGCCATGAAGCAAATATCACTGCTATTTCCCTTACACAAATGAGGCTCAGGAGGTGAACACCATATCAAGTATCTCAGCTGGGAAAGATGGTAATTTTAAAGTCCCCCTCCCCCAAGCAGGAGAAATCGCATGCTCCTTGCTTCTAAGCTGAGCTCCGCGGAGAGTCCACACCCTCCCCTTGACTCTGGGAGGCCACCCTCCCTCCCCTCCTTGAAAGGTGTCACTTGAGCACTGTGGCTCTGTCAGTAGTAACAGCCATAAGATTTGTCCTTTTAATCCAGAATCAATAACAAATTTCATTTAAAAATAAATTAAACTAGGCATTGGAAATCATTCACCGTGTGGGCCGGGGCCCTATAGAGCACCGTCTAAATGGCTTCCTCTTGCTCATCTATCAATGCCAAGAGGGGGGAAATACCTAAGCTGCCTGATTCATGGAGAAACTACTTAAATGTATCAGCCCCTAACAATGAGCAGTGTAAGCCCAGAGTCGCACCTTTTAACACACCAATAACATGTGGAGCGAGGCTCTATGAGAGCTTATCAGAGACCCCACGGTCACTGGCTTCGAGCAAACCCATTTATAAGGGGGAACAATGGCTTTAGTATGGAACCGCCTAATTTTCAGAATGCATTACTGAGCTCTGAGGAGCAATGGAATTCTATTAAAGTCTTATCTGCCACAGGAGGATATGAAACCGGCAGGGAAATCCTGACTTGGCACAGACATGCCCAGAAAGCACCAGGGCTGACCCGAGGAGGTGGGTGAACCAGCCCAGAATGAAGGAGGGGGCAGGCGGGGCCCCGGATGTGTGAAAATATGTGCATTAATAGAGCTCCAGTTTCCAGCGATTACGTTTACATCAGCGAATAAAACTTGGCCATAAAACATCAGAGCTGCGTCTCAGACAGCGTTTCCTTTTACAGCCCGGTGTATTTCACTCATTATAACAGGAGGCAGGGAGCTCGAGGTGTCCCCATTTCTCCCCCTTTAATTAAATTTTCTAAATTACTGCCCGAGATTTGGATAAAGCAGAAGACTTACAGCTCCACTAATCGTCATCGAGGATCCCAGTCCATCACAGTGGTGGCCCTGACTGTACCAGGTTCCAACATTATTAAAGTGAAATATTGTGGGCATCGCCTGCCTGGGCTCTGCTTCCTGAAAGGAGATACAGCCTCAGGAGAGAAGCTGCCCCGGGGCTAGGCTCAAGGACTGGTTTTAAAATCCTTTCTTTGTGACAGCTGGGGCAAATCGCTTTCCCTTTCTGAGGCCCCACAACTGTTTCTTTCCCCAAACAGCCATTTTAAGTTTCTAGAATTGATTTGGGTCAGGAGCAGCCTTGGGATGCATACTGGGGTGGGTGACGTAGGCAGCTTTAAACATCGCTGATGCCCATGCTGTGTCTCAGAAATTCTGACATTATTGGTCTGGGGTGAGGTCTGGGTATCAAGGTTTTAAAATTTCTGACAACTCCAGGGTCCATCCAGAGTTGAGCACCAAGGTTGGCCCAGAGTTTTGAGATGTCCACGAGCTCTAAGATCTCTGGGATGACCATGGGTTTTAAGATCTCTTGGAGATCTTGTTCCTCGTGGAGGCCCAGGCCTGACCCTGGGGGTTCTCTTTCCATCTAACTCTTGGGGTCCCAGGAGGCATCTAGAAATCTGCCAATTCAACAAGCATCCTTAGTGTGTTCATGCAAAGATTCAGTGGCCATGTGAGGATTCCAACAGGGATCCTTCTGTACTGTCCCTTGAATTGGGCCAAGTCAGCCTCTTGGGGTAAGTGAGTTCATTTATCCTCTTGTGGCTGACGGAGCTGAGCTATGAACTGTCCCACAGGTCAGGACACTCCTCTCCTCTGGTGCCTGGTCTTCTCACCTGTTCTTCTCAAAGCCAGGAGGACTCCTGAGAAGCCTCAGCAGATAGGTTGCGTGCCTGTCCTAAGCCTTCTGCCCACAGTGGCCTCCATACCACATACCCTGTCCTCTCCTCCTGAAGAATTCTAGCTTCATCTGCATTGCCCCCCACCTTTAACTTTGGGCTACATAGGAAAACCCTGTTCAAAATCAGGGTGCTAACAAGGTAGGTTTCTGAGGGAGGCTTCATATCTTGAATGTGGCACTCTCTTTCTGGTGTCTCTTCTTATGAGGACACTGACCTATCAGGTCAGGGCCCCACCCTTATGACCTTTTAGAAGCTTAATTACTTCCTGTCTCCAAATACAGTCACAATGAGAGTCAGGGATTCAACATATGAACTGGAGATACAAAGCATTCCATCTATACCAACCACATAGATATTTCCCTCAGATTTGAACCTACTTGCATTCTACCAATGGCCAGAAAGTACCCATGGCATGTGTCTGAGTTGTCCCAGCAAGGATCCTAATGAAATCCTCACCAAAGGCAATTAATTAGAGCAGGCAGGGGATCCTCGAGTCCTTCACCCTACAACCAGGTGCTTGTTAAACATGGCAGGACAGCAGGATCTCTGCCAATTAGGTTCAAGGCCCTACTTGTGGGATTATTTTCAAAACCGTGAACTGATTTAAACAGCATGGTTAATGGCACTCTAGTCCACAGTGGTATTAGCTAGACCAACACTGGCCAATAGGAATAAAATGTGAGTTGTTTGCATAATTTTAGATTTTTTAGTAACCACACTAAAAAAAAAATAAAATTTTAATAATATATTTTTGTAACCCAAGATATCAAAAATATTACCATTTCAGTCATAAGAGCCATCATTTTTAAGACTTCATTTTTATGATTATATTTAATTTATTCATTAATTTATTTATTTTTGCAGTGCTAAGGAACAAGCCCAGGGCCTTGCCTGTGGTAGGCAAGCACTCAACCTCTACCACTATTTTTTTTTCTTCTTAAACATCGACATCTGCTAGTTGTCCAGGCTGGTCTCAAACTTGCAGTCCTCCTGCCTCAGACTCTCAAGGAGCTGAGATTACAGGTGTGTGCCATCACATTTCACCATGTAAGTCATTATTTTTTTTTTTTTATCGGTACCAGGGATCAAACTCACGACTGCCTGCTTGCAAGGCAGGCACTTATGTCGCTGAGCTAAATCCCCAGCCCCACGTAAATCATTATTAACGAGCTATTTCTCACTCCTTTTTACATGCCAAGGTGTTGGCTCTAGTGTGTAGTTGACACTCGTGGTTCGTCTCCTCTTGGCCCAGCCCCATTTCTAGTGCTCCATAGTCATGTGGGTATGACTGCCTTAGTGGATAGTGCAAGCTAGACCACCTGAGAGAAGGCCTGGGCAGCGTCTCTAAGGACAGGAGCAAAATAAGTATCTGTGAGCATTTACTGTGTGCCAAGCTCCAGAACTTATTGCATGACATCTCATAACACAAATGAGGCTGTTACTCTATCTTCTGTTGTGGTAACTGTGGTTCAGCAAGGTGAGGTGACTGGGCTGGGTGGCTGGAACCAAGTCCATTACTGCACCAGGCTGCTGTGGTTGGAGACCCCAGCTGGAGCTGGCCGAATACAATACCTGAACTTGAGGAGGCCCACTGGGGTGATAGCTGGAGCTGGGCCTGTAGCCCTGAGCCAGCCAGGGCTATAATATTGAGCCAAAGCAATCACAGTCTAATGGTGAAATTCCTGGTGAGTGTGGGTGTAGTGACAAAAACCGACCATTTTCCCCAGAGTGCTATGTCTGGGTAAAGGGAGAGATGTCTTGTGAGGGGTCCTTGCCAGAGTGGTGGCATTGTGGGACAGCTGAGGTTCCTGATATCACTGACTTACTCACAGACTCTAGACACGAGGTGCCCAGTAATCATACTTAGATGACTGGAACTAGCCAAGGCCTGTAAATCACACCAGAGCAACTCAAGCAGGGAATAAATTCCACTGTAATCCAGAAGCATTGCCAGCTGTGGACCTAAATGCAGCACAGTGTGGGGGTTTCTGAAACTTCTAGCCCTCAGAAGGGGTGTGAATAGGAGATGACCCTGGAGGCTCCTACCCACCAGAGAGACGGGACCAAGAACCTGGAGAAGCTTGGGAGGGAAGAGAAAACACAGACCCCACAGACATTCTCATTGTAGACACCCACTCACATGTCTATTTTATGTTGCCCATGCATCTAGTATCTGTTCTGCTGGGGCAACACTGGCTGGGTCAGATCTGCACCTTGTGTGGCCTTGGGCCAATCTCTTCTCCCTAGACCTTGCTTTCCTGATCTGGGACACATCTCCCTCCCCCAGGTTATTTAAAAGAGCAGATGAGGCAGAATCCAGACACCTACTGGACAAACAGCCATTGTGCCTATGACTTTACATCTATCATCTCACTTAAGCTGCACTGAGGTGCTCACTTCACTGACAGACACCAGTCTGGAGAGGGGGAGGAAGCTTAGTCAGAACTGCACGTCTGCTGATTTCTTCTGCTTCTGCCCACATTCACTGTGCATTCCCTCCCCCACATTCCTGTGCACCCCATCCCCAAAGCCCCATCACTTGCCTGCCTCGAGGGGTGTGGCTCTGCCTGAACACATGGACTCCTACATACGCTCAGGGCAGAAGTGGGTTTGAATCCAACAGTGGCCCATGCCAGCTCTGTGATCCTGAGCACCTTTCCCAGCCTTGTTTCCTCATCTATAAAGTGTCTAGGGTGAGAGTTTGGCTGCTGCATTGGGGTCCAGCAGGGGCCTGGCCCCTAAAACAAGGGTTAGAGGTCCTCCCTGTCTCCCTCATGGCGTGCTCCATGTGGACATCACACTCAGGGGCCCTGGCCTTGACCCTGGAGTCCAGGGGAAAGGGCAACCTTGTGCCTCTCCTCCCCATGCTAGGCCTCCTGCAGCCACTGGTCTGGAATTTTCCCTCCACTCTCCTCGTCCCTCACCTCCATGCCAGGAGCCCCATCCTTTCCACGCCTCCCAATCACAGCAAACTGCCTCATCAATCATGTTCTTTCTAATTAACTTCTAATTTACCTCTTTAGTCAAATCTGTTTACAATCAGACAAGAAAACATGCAGCAGCCTGAGGTACGGTGAGGGCACCAGCTCTGGGCCCATGGAGGATCAGTCTGCCCTGGACCACAGTGGGGACCCTGAGGTTCCCTTTTCTTCTCAGGTAGCCGAGGGTGCTGAAGGGCAGAGGTGGAGTCGCCCGGTCAATGTCCTTGCCTTGCTGTGGGCACCCAGCATCCCTTCGCCTCCCTTCCCGCCCCCAGCCCCTCTCCCCTAGTCTTTCCCTGCTCCTCGGGGGTAGGCGTCCAACCCTGCTGTCTGTGGGGACAACTCTGAGCCTACTACCCTGTTTACAAAGTGAGACACCCCACCTCTCAGGGCATGAGCCCAGCTCTCATCCCCATCAGCTGCATGGCCCAGCGGGGGACTAGATGCAGGATGGAAGGGGCACTGTCCTTGTTTGTTTCTGTATTTTAGTTGTTTTAAGGTTTTGAAATTTTGGGGCCAGGGATTTGGCTCAACAGCATAAGCCATTTCTGATAAAAAATGCCTGCCTGGGAAGTGTGAGGTCGTGAGTTCAGTCCCCGGTACCACAAAAAATAAAAAGGTTTTGAAATTTTGAATTAATTTCCAACTTAAAGAAAATTGTTACCCATGGTACATGTCAACACCCTAGAATGTCTTCACTTGCATTTTCTGAGATAATGCAACTGCTGATCTTGGGACATCTGAGTTGAAATGTTACTACTATGTCATTTTTTTTTTTTTTTTTTTTTTTTTTTATCGGTACCAGGGATCGAACTCACGACCATGCACTTGCAAGGCAGGCGCTTATGCCGCTGAGCTAAATCCCCAGCCCCTACTATGTCATCTCACTGAGTACCTAAGTCTTTTCAGTCCTGCAGCATCACTTCCTGGCCATATAAACTTGATTTTATCACTGTTGTGGGCCCA